TCTAACGTTAAAATGTTGGTGACACAATAATTTCATCCTAATGGCACTGACATATTCATAGGGTAAATTTCTGAAACAATATATCATGAGGTAGTTATGATTTTGCAAATATTCCACCTTGTAGTGCAGTTTGCACATTTAAAAAAAAAAAAAAAAATACACTCACCCTGCAAACATTACTGATGAGTGAATCATCAGCAATGTTTGTATAGTGCGCCTAAAATGTTGCATAATTTTGCCAAGAGATCTTTTACTTTGTAGTAATCTTAGATGAGTAGTTTTATGGACAAAACCCACCAGGTCATTCAGTGTTCCCTTAGTGCTAATGTGTAAGAGATGTTGGTGTACTATAACTGAAGTAATGTTGTTAAGTCGTTAAAGTCATATTCTTTTATTGTCGTGACTGTATTTGAAGCTATTTTTATTATTCTATGACACCTGATTTATAAGGAATACGGCTGAAGTAAACTAAAGTCTAAAATACTTAGTCAGTCATTTGTTTAATAGTAATTTAACATTATATATTTCACATGTAAAGCTATGAATTGTAATTTTAAATGGTTTAAAAGCATGTAGAATAGCATATGTAGGCAAGTATATTTCTCCTTTTTTTAATCAAGAAGCAAAGACTAAAAGGGGGAAAAAAAAACAAGAAACAGGGCAGGGTTCAGTGGTTGAATCATCCGTCCCCACCAATGCCAAAACCAAATCTACGCCCTTGATTAACACGTTCAGTCATACAAATTTAGAATTGACTTGGATCATTACTCCAGCAGGAAGGAAAAACGTGCATCAACCGATGAACTGCTCTCATACTGACAGGGTACTATGTTCCTTTATTACAACCTTAATTAAAAGATCTGTGGTTTCATCTGTGGTTTTCTTTTATAACCCACACGCAACAACATGATATATACACATATGGCAAAGTAACTACATAAGCTTTTTGTGGCTTTTTGTCATGATGTTGTCGTTTCAGTGCAGCAGACCCACGACAGCAACATCCTCCATTGCATTATTAAAGAGCCTTCTCTAACTGCAGTCACAAGCTCCTGTCCCGAGTGCTTATGAAAGTCTTTTCCACACAGTTTCTGG